TCTTTCCGCTACAAAAACCCTCGGCGTTTCTTCATAAAATGAATTTTCCAGTTGGTTTTTGTGCTGTGGTCAAAATGGCGGCGAAATGGAGGCGAAAACGAATGTTGGAACGGCGAGTCGGTAGTTCTAAGAGCATCGCTATCGCACTCCTTCACGTGAAATAAACAGGCCCATCCGGTGATAAGCCTCTTCTTCGCCCTAATTAAAAGCATGACTGGTGCGCGCAAATACCGGCCGGGGCGAGATAAGCGCCGCGTACGCGCCTTCATTCATTCATGCCACGTCCATTCATGTTTTCGCCTTGTTTCCGAGAACCGGCGACCTACTCCCGAGACCCCCAAGCGGAGGCGCTGCGGGCCAGCCATCAGGATTTCGCCAATTAAATTCAAAATTTGATTTTTATTTTCCTTTATGGAGCTAAGACATGCATAAACGCTTGTCGGTCTGTGATTTACAGCATCCTAAAGATCGTTGCGAAACCCACGGAAATGTCTGAATTTAGAAAAGGCATAAATCCCGCGGTTCCGACTTTCCCAACGCGGCCGCATAATCCATCGCCATGGTTTCGCGGGCCGCCTGCCTCGCCCGGCCGCCCGCCAGTGTAGCGACAAATTGTCGACGGGGTGCTGCAGGCCACCGGGCCGCCGGACGGACGGCGGACGAGCAGCGGGCTGGTTCTCGACGAGGGATTCGTCGCTCCAACGGTGCGAGAGAGACGAACCTCTGTCCCGCAGCAGCAGCAACCTCCTCGTCTTGTCCCGATCGCGTGCCGAGCCGCGGCTGACTCTAAATCCCGAATTATGGAAAGAGAGTCGGAGTCTGGCATTGGCACTGTCGGGGACATTCATTCGTGCGCGTGCCTGCTCCTGCCTCGCTGCCTTCGCACCGCTCTGAGGCACCACCAGGGCCGCCACCTCGCCGCCCGGCCGCAGGACGTCAGACACGTCAGACACGTCAGATCGGAAGACTTTCCGGGACTCCAGGACTTACCGGGCGGGTAGCGCAGCCTCACCGCAAGTTATTCAAACCGGCCAACCTAAATCTTGCCGTGGTATTTATTTTTTTCGCCGATTTTTTTTTTCCCCGCGGTAGAAATTTGCATGTAGGTGCTCTGATTATCCTCGCGCCTGATTACCCGGGGTAATTTTGTGGGGTAATGCGAAGCCGCTTTTAATGCGGCGGGAAAGGGGTATAGGCAGATCGCCGTGCCCCACACAAGGCCCCACATGCAGGCCGCGGCGCGTGGGCGGGGCAGGGGGGGGGGGGGGGGGGGGGCTGGACCACCCGGCGAGTTTCGGCGTGTCGGACGCGTTTGACATGGCGGGGACAGTCGGGAGTCGGCCGTAGTCGGCCACGGTCTTCACGGGGCGCGCTGCAAGGCTGGAAGGCCCTGCAGGTCTTGGTAGGCCCCGCCTGCCGCGGCCTGCACCGAGCCCCGGACGTGCGGTGCATCTTATTGAGCCCCCCCCCCCCCCCCTTCCCCCCGGGCCACGCTTGGCCGCAATTTTGCAGCTGAGCGCCAGCACCATCCTCACGCCCTTCCCGCTTCAAGAATGAAGACCGGCACTACTACTGGCACGCTGGAAACAGACAGCGATCCCAACGATCGCCGCCAAAAGTTAGCTATTCGTGACGTCACCGGGGCTTTCTTTTCGTGGAGCAGGTAGAGGCAGCCCCGCGGCGTGGCGCAAGCGCGCAGGCGGCATACCTTTGGCGCCGGAGAATTTCCGGGGCCCCGACGGCCTGACGGCGGCGGCGTACGGCGGCGAGGTGCAAGGCCCCGAACGAGGCCCGGAGAAAGGGGAGACAGGGGAGGCAGTCACCCCGCCGCCGACCAGCAGGCCGCCGAGGCCGCCATAAACCCAGGGTGCGCGCCGTGGCGCCCGAGACCCCCAGCACGACACGGCGACGGCGCCAAGGAGGAGACAACCCTTTTGGCCGCCGCCAAGGGTAAGGGTCACTACGCCGCAAAATTATTTTTTTAAAAATAGTAATTTTATTTTTTGTCACCACCACTCCGCGCTTGCTATTCCCCTTGTTATTCCCCCCGAAGGCCGAAGGGCCGAAGGTGCCCGCTGCGCTATCTGGCGGTGACGCGGACTAATCCCGTCGCACCTGCGCCGCACTGGCGGCTATCACTCCGCGATAGGCGTCGCCGCCGCCGTCGTCGCCGTCCTAGGGCCGCGGAGCGTCCACCGCCTTCCAGAAGAGTGAACCGCACACGACACACGTCGCCGTCGCCGTCCGCCCCGCCCGTATCTCCGGCAAACATTGACCGCCTTATCCAAACGGAGAGCGATCCGCGAATAGGCACTGTGCGTGAGTCCGGCGCGGCGCGGCGCGGCCGCTTCCCAGGCTGATAGCACTCTATCGGTCACCTGCTACTCGGCCAGCATCGTCACCCCGCGGATGGCCTCCCCGTCGACGCCGGCACCGGCTCCTTGTCCTTGTCGCACTCGCAGTCAAGTTAGGTGGATCCACCGCAGCGAGTGAAATTAAGATGCAAATGCGTCCGCGGCGTCGCCAGAGCAATACCCAGCAATACGGAGTGGTTCGGGCGGCGCGGCGTTACATAAAGACAAGTCATTTATCCGACTATCCGGCGCGCTCTGCAGATCACCTCTCCAACACACGGCTTAGAGCGTCGCAAAAAATATTTGTTGTTGTTTTTGTTCCGGATGATCGATCTGCTGAGCTACCCTCTCAATTATATTTCTGACACGGAGAAACAAAAATAAAAGAGTCTGTGGTGGTAACGAGAAAATTGAGTTTGCCCAGATCAGCTTTGCCGGGCACAGCATATTCGTTTTAGGCCAACGCTCTTTTTCCGCGTCGGGCCGAATTTAGGTTCAAGAGGCGCCTTCCGCCGCGTGCCGCCTGCTGAGAGGCGCCCGGCGTGCTCGACGTGCTCGACGCACCGCAGTGAGATCACCGCGCCGGCCGCGCCGGCCCACGGCAGGGCCCTCGTCCGGAAGGCCGCCAACGAGGACGAGGCGTCGTCCGGGACGCCGAAACGGTCGCCAACGCCGTGTTTTCGCAAAGCGACCAAGAGTGAGTAATTATGACATACAGCGGAAATGCCAGTCCGCTGCACCTCGCTCTCTCACGCTCGTTAATGCCGCAGTGTTCGGAACTTTTCACTTTGCCACGCGAGTGTGTGAGTGCGTGTGTGTTTGCGGGTAATTGTCGCAAAAGTGACACTCTGGCATTATTTCGGCATCAACCCCGTCGTCTTCTTTTTCTCTCCCTCTTCTTCTCCTTCTTGTGCATGCTGGCCCGTTTCCTCGACCAGCGTCTCTCCCTTTCTCTGCCTAATCCCGCACAACCCCTCTCTCTCCCTCATGCAGGCCATGCGCTGCGCCGGCAGCCTCGAGACATTCTTTTCCGAGCAAACGGGCCATAAGAAGCGTGAATAATGTGTTTTTCTGCGAATCGTCTGCTCGCCTCTCTCCGGACTCTCCTCTCCTCCGCTCTGCCGGCCGGGCCCGGCCCTCCCCTCCGACGACATGCTTGGTGTAATTAGGCGACGATATCAGAGTGCATTCGGCCCGCTGCCGGCGCTGCCCCGCTCGCGGCAAATTGGGTTGCGTGTTGAGCAAGCCGCGCGTCCCGTGCGTGCATCGCCGTGCATCGGCCATCAGCCGGCATCAGCGCACCGGGACCGACCAGCCCCCAAAACTTTTTGATGCGCGCCTAATGATTTTCGTTTTTACGTTTTAATGAACTTAATTTTTATTATTGCCGACTTAACGACCTCTCACCGGCCCGTCATCGTCGGCGGCGTTGGCGGCGTTCGCAGTTCGCACACACGCGCGCTGCTGGTCATCAAGGTCCAGTTAGCAGCCGAATTTTTCATCCGCGACGCAGCGGTGACGCGGCGCCCGACGTGTTCAGACGTGTCGTCCGTACAGTCGCGCGAGAGATACGATGCGAGGTCGTAAAGGGCTCAGCGCGCTCAGCGGCCGGATGAGGATGAGGCGGCCGTTTCCTTGGCCGCTTATCTGCGAGGTGTTTCGAAAACGCGCGCGATTCGCCGCCAAAGGTTCCGGGTACACATCGACGCACGTCCTGTTGTCCGTTTCCCGTTCGAGGACGGCCTCCCCCAGCCCTCAGGGGCGGCGCGGGGCGGCGCCAGCGGGGCCCTTTTGTGGCGAGCACGAGTCATCGACCCCCGGCCGCCTGTCTCCAAGCGAGATAGCCAGTCGTGGGTACAGTGGCGGCGGCCACGGCGTGAAGGGACGCCGCCGAAAACTTAAACATTCAACTAAATGGTACTGAGGCAGAGGTTGCGGCGTCGCGGGGCGCACCGCCCGAAACGCTGGCCGCTTGGCAGCGGGCTCACGTTCGGGGCGTCGGGGGGTCCGGGCGTCGGGACGCAGGGCGCCGTTGAGGCGCGGACCGGGCTCGTCTCGTCTCGCACCGCCAGCCGAATAGTAAGTGGCGACATTACCCCGCATTACGGACGGCGGCGTCGCGCGGCCCTACACTATAGACAACAACCCGGTCATTACGTGCACACTGCTCCATATTTCCACGCGCCCAGGGAAGACCAGGGCTGTGACCAGCGCGCCGGCTGGTCTCGAGTCACTCATCGCTGAGTCCAAACACCCCGCGCGCGTGGCGAGTTGCCGGGCTCGCGGCCCTACGCCGCTGGACCGGCCCGGCGTATCGGATTCGGCGAAACCGCGGCGGGCGGCGTTGTTCGGCTGCCCTGGCCATTCGCTCTGGCTCTCTGGCCACAGCTATGTAAGCGCGCGCGCCTGCGTTGCTTCCATCCCGGCGCGATACGGTGGTAGGCAGGCAGGCCGGCGTGGCGTCTAGCGCGCCACTGTAACCGGACACCCCGGACACCGCCTGGACCGCGAGGAAACTGGAGCCGGCCGCGCGCGCCGCGCACCGCGCACCGCACCGCGCGGGAAGGTCGACACGGCAGTCGGCACGCTGTGTCGGTCGGACTCGTGTCGTCGGGGCTGCAGAGCTTCTGCTGCTCAATCACTCACCTGCATGAGCCAGGGATCCAGGTCGGCGCTGGGGGAGGAGCAGGCTGGGGCGCTGACGCGGTGCCCAGGGACTATCTGGTCGTCGTCCAAGGCCGACTCCATGCCGGTCGTGGCATGGACACGCGAGAGGGCAGGTCCGTTCGGGAGAGGGTTCGCACTGCACTGCACCGCACTGCACACACACTGTCACACGCACTGCACTGGCTTCTGGCTTGGCGCGGCCTGGGTCTCGGCCTCCACGAGGTGCCTCCGCGAGGTGCCTCCACGAGGTGCTGGTCGTCGTGCGGCTGGCTGCTGGCACTCCGCGCTGCACAGGCGACACGGCGATGGTCGGGGCCTCACTGCGCCGCGCAGCGGCAACAGCATAGCGGGCCCGCCGCGCGCCGCCCGGCCGGGCCGGTGGAGGGGCGCCGGGGCTGCGGGGGCCGCGGCGGGGGCCACGGCGGGGCTCGGAGAAAGAGAGAGAGGGAGACTCGTCTATCGGGTGGCCCGTCCCGCCGTCCCGCTCGCACACTCGTATACGCGCGTATAGGCCGCCAGGCGGGCCGGCCGAGCTGGCAGCCACGCGGTTCACTCTCTCATTCACTCTCCCAACTCATTCAGAAAGACCAGAGCCCCTCGAGAGGAGAACTCAGGCTAAGCCACCTGTAGCGCGCCCCGCGGCCTGCGCCCCGCGCCCCGCCGACCCGGCTCGGGTCCGCGTTTCGTTCCAGCTTCCAGCTCAAACCCGAACTCAAACCCCTTCGGGTTTGGACGCCGCCGTGGCCGCGGACCCGCATGGCCGATGGCTGGCCGATGGCTGGCCGATGGCTGGCCGATGGCTGGCCGATGGCCGCATGGGGGCACGACTGCTTTTTCCAGGACAGGTCACCGCGGCTCCGCGGCCCGACCGGGCACCGCGTCGACAAGGCTTCCAGAAATAAATTCAGAAACGACCCGAAGGGTTGCCTACCCGCACGCACGGCGCAGCGCGGCACTGCTCGGTGCCGCGTTTGCTGACACTGACGGGCCCGTTGGGTCGGCTGCTTCGGTTTCTCCGCTTTTCCGGGAAAAGGCACTCCAGCGCCTCGCTGCTGCCTGGACAAGCACCGCGACAAGGGCCGACTTGGGGAGCCGCGGGGCCGTTGGAAAGGCGAAGTAAGTGTTTTGTTTTCCATTCGGCAGAACACGGCAATGCACGGTACATACAGCGGAGGAGCAAACACACGCACACACACGCACACACACGCACACACTGGCACACTCGTAAAGGCTAGCCTAGCGGGTCATTGGACCCTGGCGCCTTGCCACCTTGCCCTCCGCACGTGCCATTTTTCTACAATATAATAAATTGGAAACTAATCTGGAGACTTTTGGACATCCTTTTTTTTCCTTTCCGCCAAAAACGCGCCATGTTGTCGAAGCGCACTCCTGAGGCAGGCGGGGCGGCGAAGCGCTTCGGGCCGGCCTGAAGACGGCCTCAAGTAATTGCCTTTCGGATAGTTATCGGCCGCGTGGGTCCTCGCGACCGCCATAACTAATCTTAAGCCTTAGTTCACGCGGCCTGCGGGGGCGAGGAAGAAATTCTCTCAAGTAAACAAAGAGTCGGTCGGGGAAACTACCGTGATACTGAAATCATTTTTCTTTGGCTTGCACACCGGTTTTCCTTGTTTGAGCGACTTGAACATGATTGTCTCCCCTAAGTCTGTGTGTTGTTGCAACGCACGAGCACTTCGCTGTGGTATGCACCGCGCAGTGCGAAAGCAGGCAAGAGCGGGCGGGGGAGGGCGGGTGCATAGCACGGCACGGCACGGCATCCGAGCGACGGCTGCGGCGGAGTGAGATGGGAGATATGACTGATGACTCGGTCCTCGCGGCAGGACTCCAGCAGGACTCGCAGGCAGGTCCTGCAGGACGCGTCGCCGTCCTCTACGTTCCCGTTATGCGTCTCCCCGAACCAAAGGCGCGCGCTCCGGGCGGGAATTTCAAATTTCGGCGCGCCGTCCGCAAACACACACACACACGAACACACACGCACGCACGCACACCGAGGCACGGGCACGGCGCGCTTCAGTTAGGGTTCGCACACTAATTGCCACCGCGCGTCCGCGCGTGCGGACTCGACCCGTGTGTCTCTGCGTTTCGTTTCCACACGCAATCTCAAATATTTACCCGTCTTATCAGCTCGTCTCCTCGCGTCGCCCGAGTCTCCCCGGGTTGTTTCTGCGCCCCTCTATCTCTTCCTGTTGCACGTACAGGCGCTCCGCGGGGGGCAGCCGGGCGGGCCAGGGAGGCGCGAGCCCGCCCCGCCCCGCCCCGCCCCGCCGGGCCACGCAGGATGCTGCAGTCAATGAGCGCAGGCGCCTGGAAAAGGGGGGGGGGGAGTGCTTGTAACTTGTACGTGGCCGTCGAGCACGTTGTCGCATGTTTTGTGGGTACACCGTGGGTACACAGGATCACGCTGTCAGGGGGCTCGGCCCTAAGCGGGCTGCCCTCGTATTCCCTGCTACCGTATAGTAGTGGCCGAAGCCCAGGGAAGAGCATGTGACCATAAATAAAATCCCGATTGGTCTTTGCTGTTCTGGTCGCCTGGCTGCTCCTGCTGCGAAGAGGGAGACAGAAGATTCGAAATGGCGCGGGGGTTGGACTAGTGGAATCACGGGTTGAGACATTCCGACGTCCCCAAAAGGGGGGTTGAGAGTAGCATTGCCGCGACAGTGGGGGCCGACGGCGGCCTCGAGGACGGCGTCGTGGCGTCGACGCCGAGGTGGTGGCTTATTCCTCCGGTCGGCTCGGACAGGCCGGACGGCCGGTGTCGCCGTGTCGCCTCGATAGCGGCCTTTGTCGACGGGGCAGTGACTCCCCGGGCGGGTGGCGCCAGGCCGCGCCAGGCCGCGCCACCGTACTTACAGTGCAGCGGAGGCGCCAGGGCTGTGCAGTTTATTGTCCTCACGCCGCCCTCCGTCTCCCTCGCACCCACGCGCCGGCCGGCCCGATGACAAGGACGACGCACCCTGGAGCCCCCGCCAGCCGGGGGTCCCCGCCAGACAGCCCCGCCCGGCGCCTTGTAGTGGCGTGGCGTGGCGCGCTGCTGGTATTTGGCAGGCAAAGTAACGAGGAGTGATATATGGGTCGTTGCTTCCGGTGGTAAGTGTCCGCAACAATGGCAAAACAAAAAGGGGAGGCAACGGCTGCAGTGATTAGTGAAGCCAGCGAAGTGTCTGGGACTCGCTCGCGTCCCCCTTTTCCCTTGGTTGGCCTGCCGCAGGTTTTGGCAGTGCGCCGCCTTCCCCCCCGGACCTCGCGGACCTCGCAGGCCGCCAAAGGTCACGCAGTCAAGCAGTGTCGCCACAAGCCAATAACCTTTCGGCCGGGCCGTCGCGGACTGATTCGTCGCTCTGTCTCTCTCGCACCCCCACTGGACGCGCCGCGGGTGCGAGAGGGACACAGCGGCGAGCAGCGTGCTGCTGAAAACTCTCTGATTTCCCCTTTTTGCGCCAGATTGTGTTTATAGTGTTGTCCTATCGGCTCCCGGCATTCCTGGCGAGTCCCGGGAAATGAATGGCGGGACGGGACGGCCAGGGAGCTCCCGAAAACGGAACGGGCTGCGTCGCTTTGCTTGCTTTGCTTGCTTTGCTTCGCTCCCGGAGCGAAAAAACTAACGTATTGCCCAGAATGTCTCTTTCCCGGAACAATGTAGGACGGCGCCGTCCGTCACTATCCTCTTTGACGAGGCGCGTGATGCATCACCGGTGGCGTATTTTTTTCTGGTCTTTCTTTTTCTCAAAATCGTTCGTCCCGCAGAAAAGTGAGCGAAACCGACAGGGAGAAGCTTTTCGCCGGCGTCGTCTGTGACTGCCGGACGGACGGCGGGCTTGGCGGGTGATGTTTAAAGATGACTCGGACCCCCATACAGGCCGCACAGGCCGCGCGGGCCATACAGGATGTGCCCCGTCCTCGACCCGGCGGTCCGCGGCCCGGCACGGCCCGGCACGGCCCGGCACCACTCGATGCCGATTTACGGCAAATTTTACGCGAGCTCCTCGGCGTGCCGCGGCGAGCCCCTCGAGTGCGCACATCCGGCGGGCCTTGATCCAGCCCGTCCTTATCGAGGATGATTCGCGCTGTTTTCGCGCGAATATAGATTGCGGCCGGAACGAAGGTTCCTTCGGAGTGATTGGCTGCCGATAGCCGCGTGCGTCAGCGCGTCAGCGGCGTCTCAAGGGCCCCGGGGGAATCTAAATTAGATCACTTTGCCGCGAGAAGTACCGCGAAACGAGGTGGCACTTCTTGGCGGCCTCCTCAAAACGCAAAAGTAAAACATCCTTTTCCACCAGGAAGTTTCTGCTACTCGGTCGCGAGTGAAGTGCGTTCTAGCGCCGCGTGCCTCGGCGTGCCTGATCCAGACTCCTTGCCGCCTTGGCCATGCTGCCCGCGTTTCCCAGTTGTCTTTTGTTCGGCATTCAAAGCAAGAAATCTGAGCCGTTTGCTCCCAGTCTCTCTCTTTCTCTCTTCCAGGCGCAAGGTGCGTTCAAATGGCGCGTGCTGGGAATCGTCAGCGCGACGCAGCGCGACGCGGTGCGACGCGGCAGTGCCGGCAGTCCGTCTCCCTCAGTTGGCTTGCACTCTGATGGTCTTCTTGTCCTCCTTCCTCCTCTTCTTCCCGCTGCTATGAACTGGCTTCTTTATCAGCTATCCCTGTTTCCTGCGTGTAATCCTAAGCTCTTTGAAGTGTTCATCCATCAGACTTATCTTTCCATCGCCCCCCCCCCCTCTCTTTTCCTTGCTGGCCCCTTCTGTGGCTCCATCCCCTCCGTCTCCTCTCCGTCCCCCCTCCTCCTCACTCTCACCACTCTTCGCTGTCACTCATCGTCCTTTCTCTCCTGGCCGGTACCTCACGAGTATTGTTTTTGTTATTTTCTGCTTCGGCTTGTTGTTGCTGTTGTTGTTTTTTTGTGCATACGTGCTGCCTACACCGTGGCTTCCCTTCATTCATTTTTCATTTATTTTTGTTGCAAAATTAGCGTTGGTTGTTCGAAGGACGCGCGAGTAAGGGACTCAACAGAGGAGAGGAGGGGCAGGAAAAGTACCTAAAGGTCTCTCGGCGTGTGTGTGTATGGATGTGTACGACGTGTGTGTGTGTGTGTGTGTGCGGTGGTTTGTTTGCATGCACAGGATTTTAACAGCCAGGCAGCACATGCGGGCTCGCGCTCGCGCCTCGCGCATAGCCACCACCTTCCAGGCCTTCCAGGCCTTCCAGGCTGCCGGGGGAAAGGGGGGGAGGGGGAGGCGGAAAACAGCAGGCTCATTCAAAGTGGTCAGGCAAATATGCAGACGGACGTCCCGAGGGAC